AGAATATATCATTAGGTCCATTCTTGATTCTCGTATTTCTAGGGGGAAATTGCAATACCTCATTGACTGGAAGGGTTATGGTCCAGAAGAGAGGTCTTGGGTTCCTTGTGAAGACGTGCATGCTCCTCGTCTTCTTCGGGCCTTCCACGTTCGTTTCCCTTCTAAGCCCGGTCCCATCCGCCCGATGGGCGTTTCTAGAAGGGGGGGTACTGTCAGGTTACCTGTTAGTGTTGCCTCCGAGGAGGACATCCTTTCTTCTTAGGGGCTCCCCTCCCCTAGCATTTCGGCAAATTCCGGCCGTTTTCGCGCCGGCCGCGCTAACTCCTCCCCCTTTTATGACGCGACGGCTAGCGTCGACGTCATGACGTCATCATTAAAGTGAAGTGCCGGGAACCGCAATTCCGGACCTTTTGGGGGCGTGGTCTCAATTAAGGTGACAGGGTATTTAAGGGAACTTTTACTACTGCTCATTGCCCTGTCGTGGTTCTAGCTTGCTAGTCACTCAGCACGTTCTCTCTCTTAGTGTTTTCGGTTTTGACCTTGCTTGTACCTTTGTCCTGTTGTCCTCTCCTCTCCTTTGACCCGGCTTGTCCCTCGCTTACCTGTCTTCCAGCTCCCTCGACCTCGGCTTACCTTTTGACTATTCTTGTTTTGTCCATACGTTAGTCCGGCCATTCTAAGGTCCGGTATACGTACCTCCTTCTGTCCGCACTCTGCGTATTGGATCCCTGTCTCTATCCTGACAGTATGCTTCTCCGGTTCGGTGGTTGTGGTGTCTGCTGCAGTGCTTGGAGTCCTCAGGAAGCGCTAGGAGCATCCTTCAATGAAAGTACCGAGTCGGGGTGCCAGGTGATCCGTTACATTGGTGGCAGAGGTGGGATGGCATCCTAGTGCGAGTAGAAGCAGCTCGGAGACACTTGTAACATTTCGAGTTACAAATTGAGGGCAACGCTAGTATCCGTACAGCGCCCCTGGCTACAGCAGGATGGAATCGGCTAGTTTTTGGACAGCGTTCCATGATGAGGAGGAGGCGGCCACGGACTACAGGGATGCAGACAGAAAGGAACTCTGGTATGATGCCCTGGAAGATGCCCAGTGGTGGCGAAGGTGAGAGTCTCCCCAGTGATGAGCAGTGGCTACAGAAGCGGGTGGCGATGCGGATGTATCTATTGGGAGAGCAGCCCCTGGATAAGTGGGTGACAAGACTAGAGACCCTGGTATGGTGAGAGATCTGGCTAGACAACGCATACCAGGCCCTCTGGTGGCATACCATTCGACTTACCCCCTGGACGGCTGAGCACGACTTACCGAGGGGGATGATTATGATGGCCCGGGTTTATTATGGGATGCCTTGGAGGACGACATTGATCTTGGCAGCACGGAGGGGTCAAGGTTTTGGGACATTTACGACTACCGGATGGGCATGTATGTCTGGGCTGATGAACGCGAGGTGAGTAAAGACATGACCCAGCTGGTAACAAGGGAGTGGGAGCTGGAGCAGGACTACCAACACCTGCTCAGCTTTGTGCAGCCCCAACCTACCCGACAAACAGAATCAGTCCTCATTGACTGGTCCTGGGATGTCCTCCAGATGGCAGGTAGAGATGGGACCGAGGTTTCTCTACCGGCCCTACAGGGATGCTGGGCAGCCAACCCAGATCTCCAGTGACAGTGTGAGTCCCAGGGAGCCAAAGGTGTCGTCCTTCCTCCCCAGCGGCAGTGTGAGTTCCAGGGAGCCGAAGGTGCCGTCCTTCCTCCCCAGTGGCAGTGTGAGTTCCAGGGAGCCCAAGGTGTCGTCCTTCCTCCCCAGTGGCAGTGTGAGTCCCAGGGAGCCGAAGGTGCCGTCCTTCCTCCCCAGCGGCAGTGTGAGTCCCAAGGAGCTGAAGGTGCTGTCCTTCCTCCCCAGCAGCAGTGTGTGTCCTTAGTAGAGGAGACAGTCGGTCCCTCTCCCCAGCAGCCAAGTGAGTTACAGGGAGCCGAAGGTGCCGTCCTTCCTCCCCAGCAGCATAGTACATTACAGGGAGGAGAGACCACCAGTTTCACTCCCCAGCAGCAGAGCGCATTATTGGAAGGGGAGACTGTCGGTCCCCCTCTCCACCAGCAGAGAGAGTGTCAGGGAGAGGAGCCTTTAACCCCCTCTCCCCAGCGGCTGAAAGTGTGTAAGGGAGATGAGCTTGTTACTCCCTCTCCCCAGCGGCAGCGTAGCCCACCAAGGGGAGTCACTAAGCCCCCCACCAGCTCAGATGGGACCGTGGTCTCTGCGCCCAAGCTACAGGGAGTACGGACAGTCAGCCCTGCTCCCCAGCGGCACAGTATTCTACCGGGAGGGGAGAGCCTCGTTCCCCCTCCCCAGCGGCAGCCTAGCCAACAAGGGGAGATGATAAGCCCAACACCAGTGCAGATGGGACCGTGGTCTCTGTGCCCAAATCACAGGGGGTAGAGACGGTCGGTCCTGTCCCCCAGCAGCAGGGCTGTATATCCAAAGGGGAGACAGCCTGTTTTCCACTCCAGCAGCAACACCAGGTCCAGAGGGAGGAGTCTACTAACCCTTCTCAGCTGTGCTCCAACCAGGCTACTCCCGTGGTAGCACTGGTTACAATGTTACTGTCTGTGGCGAAACCAGCCTCGCCACTGGGCATTGGAGAAGACTGATTGCCAGCCTCCTGCCATGTGACTATGGCCCCTGGGATGTATTGCCCTTTAAAGACATGATTTGGGCATAATGGATTTGTGTTGTGCTGCTGCTGGCCCTTTAAGAACCATCTGGGGACACACTATGTTTGTGGATTGTGAATAAAAGAGGCTGTATGTGCCAGTACAGTCAGTTTTGCTTGACCTCAAAACAAAGTGTCGTCTCGTTATTGGGGGAATTGGATTGTATGCTGATTGCCAGGAGTGTAAGCTGATTGTATGCTTTTCCTGTTCAGCTGCTTACAGCATTCATATGCTTGAGAGCATTCGTATGCTTCTCCGGTTTGGTGCTTGTGGTGTCTGCTGCAGTGCTTGGAGTCCTCAGGAAGCGCTAGGAACATCCTTCAACGGAGGTACCCAGTCAGGGTGCCAGGTGATCTGTTACACTGTCATTTTGTGAGAGGTATAAAGGGTTACAATGTTACTGTCATTTTGTGAGAGGTATAAAGGGTTACAATGTTACTGTCATTTACTGAGATATATAAAGGATTACAATGTTTCTGTAATTTTGTGGGTCATAAAGGGTTACAATGTTGCTGTCATTTTGTGAGACCTATAAAGGGTTACAATGTTACTGTCATGTTCTGAGAATATAAAGGGTTACAAGTTACTGTAATTTTCTGAGATATATAAAGGGTTACAATGTTACTGTAATTTTGTGGGTCATAAAGGGTTACAATGTTACTGTCATTTTGGGAGGTATAAAGGGTTACAATATTACCGTAATGTTCTGAGAGATATAAAGGGTTACAATGTTACTGTCATTTTGTGAGGTATAAAGGGTTACAATGTTACTGTCATGTTCTGAGAATATAAAGGGTTACAAGTTACTGTAATTTTCTGAGATATATAAAGGGTTACAATGTTACTGTAATTTTGTGGGTCATAAAGGGTTACAATGTTACTGTCATTTTGGGAGGTATAAAGGGTTACAATATTACCGTAATGTTCTGAGAGATATAAAGGGTTACAATGTTACTGTCATTTTGTGAGGTATAAAGGGTTACAATGTTACTGTCATGTTCTGAGAATATAAAGGGTTACAAGTTACTGTAATTTTGTGAGGTATAAAGGGTTACAATGTTACTGTATTTTGTGAGAGGTATAAAGGGTTACAATGTTACTGTCATGTTCTGAGAGGTATAAAGGGTTACAATATTACCTGTATGTTCTGAGAGGTATAAAGGGTTACAATGTTACTGTCATTTTGTGAGGTATAAAGGGTTACAATGTTACTGTCATTCTGTGAGGTATACAGGGTTACAATGTTACTGTCATGTTCTGAGAGGTATAAAGGGTTACAATGTTACTGTCATTTTGTGAGGTATAAAGGGTTACAATGTTACTGTCATTTTGTGAGAGGTATAAAGGGTTACTGTCAATATTTACTGTAATGTTCTGAGAGGTATAAAGGGTTACAATGTTACTGTCATTTTGTGAGGTATAAAGGGTTACAATGTTACTGTCATTTTGTGAGGTATAAAGGGTTACAATGTTACTGTCATTTTGTGAGAGGTATAAAGGGTTACAATGTTACTGTCATTTTGTGAGGTATAAAGGGTTACAATGTTACTGTCATTTTGTGAGAGGTATAAAGGGTTACAATGTTACTGTCATTTTGTGAGAGGTATAAAGGGTTACAATGTTACTGTCATTTTGTGAGGTATAAAGGGTTACAATGTTACTGTCATTTTGAGAGGTATAAAGGGTTACAATGTTACTGTCATTTTGTGAGAGTATAAAGGGTTACAATGTTACTGTCATTTTGAGAGGTATAAAGGGTTACAATGTTACTGTCATTTTGTGAGGTATAAAGGGTTACAATGTTACTGTCATTTTGTGAGAGGTATAAAGGGTTACAATGGTACTGTCATGTTCTGAGCGGTATAAAGGGTTACAATGTTACTGTCATTTTGTGAGATATAAAGGGTTACAATGTTACTGTCATTTTGTGAGAGGTATAAAGGGTTACAATGTTACTGTCATTTTGTGAGGTAGCACCTTGATCCCTGTATTGATTTCAGCATTTGCAATTCCTATCTCCCAGATGAGACAATTGACCTTTCATGTGCTCTATTTATGTTGTTTTTGATATGTTAATGGTTTAATAATGAAAAAACAATAAAACCATCTCCAAACAAGCTGTTTGTTTGTTAACAGCTACTCTGTACCACTCTGTGACTCATCTCCAAGCGGATTCTGTTGCTGTCCTGCTGCACAAGATATAGGCAGTGGCATAGCTGCTTCCTTGTGTGACTGTCTAACCTTATTTTACTTTGCAGAGAAAGAAAGGGAGTCATCCCAGCCCCGTGGCAGCTGATTGGCTGGCGCCTGGCCATTCTCCTCTATAAATACAAGAGACAGAGCTTTGTGAGAGCATTCAGCACTACCAGCTGGGACACAGCACATCTCATGCCTTCAGCAGCTGCTATTTGTACACTCTGTCCTCTCCAAGGGATGTGAACAGGACTTATAAAAAGAAAACACATAGGTAAATACAATATTTCTATTTTTCTTTAAATTCTTTAATCAAGACAGGTCCAGACAATGGAGAACAAAAATGAAATATCTTATGTTAAGCTGTCTGATTATAGTAAAACAATATGAAACAGTGATATTCTAGTTAGTAGCTGGTTAGCTGGGTCTGTAACAACTAGGTCTTAGACATTTCAAAGTAAGTGAGTATATGTAGGGAGGTAGTTCTGAAATAAAATTTAAAAAATTAGAAAGTATTAAAATCCATTAATACCCACACCAACTATTAATTACAGTATCTGGATAATAAATACTTTTTAGGAAAGGAAATAATTAAGAAAAATATGTGTATTCTTAGCAAGAGACTGACTGTACATATTATTTTCATTTCAGTCTTATTTTATAGTATATACAATATAACATGCAAGGTATGACTGTGTGAGAGGGAGTTAGCTATGTAAACACTCATATAGGACCTGAAGAATTGTGTATTGTTTCTGTAAATGGTTATCATCGCCCCTGTTAAACAGGACAACTGGTCATTTTTTTTAAACATTTTATTATTTGTTTTAGCAGAAATGAATAAAATGATGTGATGTAAATCACAGTGTATTTCTTTATTTATAAAATATTTTACCAGAATGGATACATTGAGATTTCTCTTGTTTTCAAGTATGTCCTGGGTCCACAAAACATTGCATTGTTACAATAGGATGCAATATTAGAAAAGTACAATATACAAACAATATATATATATACACACACACACACATATATAAATTTAATACATAACAGGTAATAAATATATTCAACCATGACAGATGCATTCTGTGCCGATGTATATCACCATTTAACAAGTAACATTCATTATCTCTTTTTTTTTTTTACAGAATAACTGTTGGTTTGGAATCCCTGCATACATAGCACTGGGCTGATGTGAATTTTGGAGAAACTTAAAACATCAGATACTTTTGGACCAGAGACTGATCTGAACATGAGGAACATCCTCACTGATAAGAGACAACGTCCTCTCACCTGCCCCAATGTCCTGACACCAGACAGAATCCCTGAATTCTGCATCCCTCCCCGGTTTCCATCACAGAGGGGAATGAAAATGAGGAGCCTTCACAGGTCTGTCCCTGACCTCAGTGGGACATCTTATGATTCAGGACTGCTCAACCTCCCAAAGAGACATTTCATCCAAGTAGAGAGTGCAGAGGACCTGCCTGAAGAAGACAGCACCAATGCTGATCCTCAGTCACAGGCAGCCTTGTCTCTACCCCACCTTCCCAAAACACAGACTTCCTATGGGTTCTGTACTTTGCTGGAAAGCCCAAACACCAGAAGGAAAGAATCACTCTTCCACAATGACCCTGAAACTTTTCCCATACTTCTGCCCCGATCTCGTTCTAGCACCACCACTTGTCAAGGGACAGCCTCTTCGAATAGCTTCACCATGCTTCGGCTGAGGACACTTAGCCGATCCGGTACCTTGGACAGCGACACATCCTCTTCAACAGACTCTTCACCTTTTAGCTCTCCTCTACTCCACAGATCTCTTCCACGGGGCAGCTCACTGCTAAAGGCTATAAGTCATGACAAACTTTTCTCCAGGGCCTTCAGGAGAAGAAAAAATGGGAAATTGAATCTTTCCAGAAATAACTCCCTGTCTGCAGATGACGGTAGCTCAACAGACAGCAGTCCCTGCATCATCCGCAGAGTTTCTGATGGGATGATGGACTCTGTCTGTCCAATGGATCTTCTATATTCTCGGGACAGATTTATGTCAGATAACTCGGTGATCTTGAGTAATGGCAGTTCACTACGTTTATCAACAGAGTATTGTCCTGTAGCCCAGAGACTTCGTGTTCGTCTTATCAGTGCTGAGGGACTCTACGATCCCATTACTGACCCGAAAACCATAAACTGCTTTGTTTCTCTCTCCATCACTCCTGGCAAGAATCAGAAGCAACGCAGTACAATCATAAGGAGAAGTCGTAACCCGATCTTTAATGAGGACTTTTTCTTTGAGAACTTGTCTGAAGCACAGCTGCAATGCCGCTGTCTTAAGTTGAAAGCCATCAACAAAACATGCGGAATGAAGAGAGATGTTGTTCTGGGACAGAGCGAGCTGCCACTAATCAGCTTCCTGTCTTTATGAGGAGAAGACAATCCTAATGTCTCCTCATGCACTTTGATCCAAAGAAGAACAAAAGGACACTAAAAATTATTTAACCGTAGTTCTCAAAAGCAAACCTGATATATTGAAACATGTCTTTTTCAAAGCCTAGTAGAAGCAAAAGCCTAATTCTTTTGGATTTTTAATAGACCTGATTTTGGAGCTATCAATTGTCAGCAAGCATCGACCAATTATAAGGACATAGCACATCGCGTGTCTCTCCCAGAAGCTGTGATCAATAACAACCATTGTGTTTTAAAGTGACTGAATAGTAAATACAGACAAACATGCCAGTCTCATTTAATTGTGTTTTTTTCAGTCTGCCTCAGGAAACAAAAATGAGTAATGTAAGCTCTTTCATGAAAACATTGCTGCCTATCATAAATAGTTTCGTATTGATCCACACTTCTTATTACTGTGCACTTACTGTTTTATTATGTTAATTATATATCTATATGTATTACTATATATTTAATTTATATATATTTTTTTTACCAATAAATATTTGTGTACAAAAACATGTTCCCGTGTTTGAATTCTAAAACAATATAAAATTATCAACATGTTTTACAAACCTATTGTGAGGTTATGTATTTATATTAGCAAGTCTCCTTCGGAACACCATGTTTTTGTTGGTTTCTAAATGACCATTCAAGAGCGATATTGTAGTGGTTTATATATTGGAATGGGTAATTGTAGGATGTTGGTTGATTGGGGATTAATATGTGCACTCAGAAATAAATTATAATAATTCTATTTTCCAGAATAGAAAAAAAAAAAAACTGTGATCATATGTCCAATTTAATCTTAATCCCCTGATTGAGAATAGGTGTTTTCTCTTTAACTTGTGAAAGGGACAGTATAGGAAAAAAAAAATCTTCCTGGGATTAGTGAAGCAAATTATGATTTGTGTTAGTGCCAATGGATACCGAGTTTAGGGCAGTGTTTCACCGTCTCATTTCTGGTGTGATGGTTATCAGAAGACAAGCTGTGCCCCCCATGGATGTTCCAAGTTCAGAATGGCTGGGATCATCATGGTACCTTATGTTGTCTACATGGACAGGGGCCTGTTAATTCTGCTTGGCTAGCACCAAATCTTGAAATTTAACCCACAAACACTCTATACTAGACTACAAATCCTGCAAAACCAAAAACCACACTTATTATAAAAAATAAATACGTTTTAGGGTCCCTTTTAAACATGTCACTGGCTCACTTGAAATCTGAAAATCTATATTTTTTCATGATTACCAATTCAATTTTTCTGGGACAGAAAAGGTTAAACACAGCTACAATTTATGACAGCGGGGCTATAAATTCACATTGGCTCCTGTGTAGTAAGATTTATAAGCAGGTGGTAAATATTGACAGAGGGGAAGCAAGATAGATTATTTTCCTGTCTAATAACAACCTTCTGTCTCACATTTTTTTCCGCATTTATGATTTGTGTTCACAGGAAGAGCACATGGACATAGTTACTCAATATTGTGATATTAACCTCATCACTGCCACAAGGTAAACATTTGGCCTATTCTCAATTTACCAATATCAATTTTTCATGCAAATCATCCAATGTACTTTATATGCATGAGTTACATTGATGATCAATCCATCACCAATGCTACATTGAGATAAAGAATTGCCATAATAAAGAGTGTGTTATTATTCCTTAGTGCAGCGTCCCAGTTACTGTGCTAGAGTTTAGCAATGCCCTGTTTGTTCAGCTGTGGACAAATCAAAGGCATTATATGCATGCTACAGACCTGGGAACAATGGAAACTCCAGTTACAAAGTAACATACATAAAAGGCTGATCTGTGATCAAACACACATCGTTTATTAACAAATGCTGTTTTGCATGTGGGAGAAACTGTGTTGAGAATATACAGAGCCCATCGTTTTTCAAGGTGACTGACATTAGTCTAGAATGATAACAAACTCTACTACAGCACTATGCACCAAGGAAAAGGCTGGAAAGTACGAGTTCCAAAAATAATTAAAGCAGGCCTGTCCAACCGGCCACAGGTTGGACATCCCTGCATTAAATAAAATAATTATAGAGAATAAACAGACTTCTGTGCCCTGGGAACCATTTTCTTTAACAGGGAAAAGTAATTTCTCTGGAATTTAAACCAATTTATAACCAGTTATAAATTGTTATAAAGCAACTTATAACCTGTGCTAACCTTGTTCATGAGATGCTCTGTTTTATTAGAAATTTATATTAAAGATTTAGCCATTACATAATAATCCTGTTTGGACAAGGCAAGGTCAGGGCAAACATTGCACTTGAAAAGGACTGATAGAAACATTGTTTCATTTTCCTCTTCTACCCATGCTCTCTCTCTCTATGCGGACTGCCAAGTGCAAAGGACAGAGATTATTAACGGTGATAGACACGGAACCAAGGTGAAGGCTCCCAGTTACAGGATAATGACGTTTGGATTTATACATATAATTTATTCTTCAAAACTCACAAATATATATACTCAACCAGAATATCTCTGCCAAAGACACTCTATTTTACCTGCAGAGCATTCAGTATATACAGCAGCCCACCAAAAGGTCAGTCGAAACTTGATGAAGGGTGAAAGCAGGGTGAATACTTTATTGGGTTGAAATGCACATATTTATACACAAACTCGAACAATACATATCCCACACTGGTGCCTACTTAGATCAAGTACCGCTAATCTAATCAACCTCCAGACAACAGGGCGTCTTAACCGAATATCCCTAAAAACATACATTTAAACATCAGTAAACTCCACATATATGTTATGCCCAGATAGCTTGTCCACAAGCGCCCTAACTGGCAAAATAGTGCCCTGATCCCATGTACGTTGTAAAATCACGACCTGGTTTTAGGTTTGACTGGCCATGGCTGAGGTCCAATCTGTGAAATAAGCTCATCACTGCTCCCAGCCCAAACGTGGGAGGCATCTGTATGGATGATAAAGTGTTTGGTAGGGTCAGGTGCAGCCAACACTGGGTCATTGGTTGGGGCCATTTTTAACTTTTGCAAGTCCCCCACACACACCGGGGACCACAGAACCTGTTGGGGAAGGTTATTTTATGTCGAGTCAGTCACGGTTTGGCAATGGTGTTATAGACTGATACAAATCTCCTATTGTAACTGATCCAGGAAGGTCATAACCTGAATTTTAGTTCTTGGTTGAGGTCAGTTAGCTACAGCTTATATTTTAACCAGTTTGGGTCCCTGTTTTCCCTGTCCTACTGGTTGTCCCAGGTACGGCTCCATTCCCATATAACACTTGTTGGGCCGTAGGGTTAGGCCTGTGGCCCAGATTCCATCTAGCACAACCCTATGTGCAAGAGTTGTTCTTCACATGTGCAGCTATATATAGCAATGTCATCCAAATATGCACAAGCAAAGTGTTGGAGTCCATCTAGGAGCTGGTTGGCCATCCTCTGGAAAGTAGCTGGAGCATTTTTCATTCCAAAGTGCATTACCTTGAATGGGTACAATTCAAATGGAGTGACAAATGCTGACTTGAGGATGGCTTCTGGATTCAGAGAGATCTGCCAATATCCCTTGCATAGCTTTCATATAGTTACAGCTGGCCATTTGGTTTAGTAACTCGTCTACTCGGGGCATAGGGTAAATGTCTGTCACCATATGGTCATTAAGCTTTCTGTAATCCACGCGAAAACAGGTTGTATCTTCTCATTTTGGCACAAGCACTACCGGGGAGGCCCATCGGCTCTGGGAGGGTTCATTAACCCCTAGGTCAAGCATCTTTCAGATCTCCTTTAAAATATTTTCTTGTACTGCTTGGGGAATGCCGTTTGGCTGCTGACATAAAGGTGTCTGTCCTGTTGTTTCTACATGGTGGACAGCTAAGGTAGATGATGACCCACTAAGGGAACATTGTGACTGAGTTTTAGTAGCTCAGAGAGATACTTCTTAGGAACTACTATTTGACTTAGTAACTTGGGCAGCCTCTCTCCCAGTTCAATCAGTCACCCTATAGATTAATACCCTGTCCATTCGAAGCTATGTCTGTCTAATCCCCCCTCCCTGCCTGCGAAAATCAGCTAAATTTGTCTTGTTCCTGAGCTCCCTTTTGAACTCTTGGGGGTGTCCCAAAATGTGTCTGTTACCTCAGAATCGGATAGCTTACCTGGGGCTCCTTGAAGCGAAAGGGTCAGCAGTCCGGGCCTGGAGCCTGCTGGTTACTGTGTACGTAGCATCAGGAGGTGTTGAAGTGAGGTGTCTAAAGTCATACCGAGTAGTACCACTAGGCTAGCAGGTCCTTCATAACTTCTAAATAACCTACCACTTCTTAATAACGGGATCAAGTACCCCAGGCAGTAGGGAGTCTGTGAAAAGTCTAATAGGGCATTTTTCTTTTTGACATTTTTTATTTTTAAAATGTATAAGGGTTGGAGTAACCCTGTAAACTCATAGTTGCGGAACACGAAGCATAGCAGACTGGAATGTTTCCAATTCGACTATATTGGCCTTAAATTTCAAATTCTCTCTTTAGTGAATAACCCTCTAAAAGGGTTGGACCCAGGTACACACAAAATGTGATGTTTCTGTTTGTATGTGAATTCTGAATAATACTTGTGCCTTTAACCACACGAACCCCATGATTATGTTACATTTGCTGTGCTACTTGGCTGACATTATGTTCCACTTGGCTGGGCTTAGCACTATTATTTTTATATGTCTGGTGAATCAGTAAAAATAATAACCTGAAACAATGACGCAGGAATAGGAGGGTGGAGATACCCTTTTCAGTCTTCATTATTTGCTCTTCCTGATCCTCATGCACACTATTTAATTAAGATTTGCAATAAAAGACTTGTCTAAATTAGTTTACTTAGTAAAGATGACACACAATCATTAGCAACAGACAGTGTGGGGGTTTATTGTTTTCTATTTTTTTTAAAATCTGACGTGTTGGTAAAAAAAATCACCACTTCACTGGGTCTGCGTTAAAAATAAAATTATGAATATGATCAATAATGCACTACGGTGATCAAATAATTAAAATAGACTGCATGAACTCTCAGAATTAAAGAAATGGATTTGATTGATATTTCTAAAAGATTTATGAACGAAATAATCAACAGAGGTTAATTCAAATAGGAAACATCCCCCCAATTAAGCACCTGTCGTAGTTAACACCTACAGTTCGAGGTTCCTGCTTTCTTAATTCTTTCTATGTTCACTCTACTAGAATTCTATTTCTGAAGCCTTTATTACAACAGAAAAGGTGAGGTTTTCTTGACTTTTCATGCCATACCTACATTGTTTACTGTTGCTCATATTTTTGTGAAATGTCTACAAATAAGTGTTTGTTATGCAATGCAATATGAAAACAAAGATTGACAAAAAATTATTTAAAAAAAGATTAGGAAACTATCTCTAATTCAGACTTTTTTGTTAAGTCTACTAATTAATCTTACATTTTGCAAATCATTAATTTGC